AATGTCAAGCAAAGCCCTCAATTCCTGGCATGGCACCGTTTATAAAGTTGGAAGCATCTTCCACACTATTGGTAAGTAGATTGTGGAAGTGGTTATATTTGGTTATATATATAACACTTTCTCCAAAGCAAATTTTCATTTTGGGTAAACTATTCCCACTTTAGGGGTAAATAAGATACAAAGATGTACCTTTTGCCACTCCAGTGACAGCTTTTGTATATTTTTGTATATTTTGAAGAATAGTATCACAAAATGTTTGATTTACAGATCATATTGAAAGGCCTATGCTACACAGTAAATGTGTGTCATTCTTGTTTTGTAAAACTGTTGTGATATCTATGTAATATCCAGGAATAAAAAATTGTCTCAGTATTGCAAAATTCACATTTGATTTCAGATCAAGCTAACGGTGCAAGTGTTGACTGGGCTTACCTACGTGGCATCAAATATTCTTTTGCTTTCGAGTTGCGTGACACTGGTAAATACGGATTCCTCCTGCCTGCCGATCAGATCGTTTCCACTGCAAGGGAGACGTGGTTTGCTCTCAGATACATTATGAAATATGTTTGTGATCACCCTTACTGAGAGAAATGTACTAAAGCTTCAGTAAAGGTCTCAGAGGATATATGCTATGAAACGTGTGTCGTTTCAGATATTATGCTTCAATAACTCAGTTTTGACAGATCTCTTCAGTCACCTTTTTTTGGCGGATTTCTCTGATCCATTTTGTGATGATCAGTGTTCAGGTTTATAAAATAACTTTTATGGCAGTTTATTTATTTATTTAAAAAATAAATATCAGTATTTTGGGGTCAAATCTTTTGCATTTTGTCTTCTGTAACCTCAACAGTCTTTTGGCGACTCTTTGAATGACTACCTATACCCATGAACTGTCTTGATTTTTTAAGCACAGTTTAAACACAAAATAATATGTCTGTGATTTATTTGTGATGTCTAAATCTATAATAGATTATCAAACAATATAACCAGTAGGTTGATGCACCATCCAATACTGGTCTTAAAGGGATAGTTCACTGAAAATGACAATTGTGTCATTATTTACTCTCACTCATGTTGTTACAAAACATTCTTTCTTCAAAAAACAAAATGAGGTAAAAATTCATACAGATTTGGAACAACCAGAGGCCTGAGACCTGAGTAAATAATAACAAAATATTCATTTCAAATTTTCATTTTATCCTTTAAAGGATAGCAATTAGCAACTGAATTATAACTAACATTGTTTGAAAATGCTAAGGAAACATACACACATAAAGGTAAAAAAAAAACATACTTTTAAGACCCAAGCATTTTGTTTTGACTTTCTTTGAGGGTTTTTAAGTGTTTAAACCTTCCATAATTCATGATAGTATCGTTTCCCCCATACTCTCTAATTCTGAATCCAGTTGAGCAGTTCTTCTCCTCCTGGTTTTTGACAACAACCACACGGACAAACTATTTTGGAAATAAAATCTATGTATACTGTACATTTTATTTTTGGATATATTTTGAAGAATGATAGACATTGACTTCCATAGTAATTTTTTCCATACTCACTTTTTTACAAACTCACTCAGGTTTGGTCACTTCATTCATTTCGAATGATGACGAAAGTTTATGGAAAACGCTTTTGTGTGAAATGTAATCTCTTTAAACTGTGCCACCTTTTGAATGGTTTCCCACCTAATTTTAGAAGCCCTGAGAAATTTGCAGCAATGTTCACCTGGAAAAGATACACACTTGTTGTTGCTTAATAATCATATCAACCTGCATCAGCACTGATATTACTAAGAACTGAACATATGTCTCTGAATGTATAAAAGCAGCTCTCCCTAAAAGAGACCTACAGTAGAGATCAACAGAGAACATGAGACTCTATCTAGCAGTCTGTGCACTCTTGGCAGCAGTTCACTGCGAGGAGCTCTTTAATGGGTAAGTTCAGATACTTTTTTTCTTTATTGACTTATTACTATATGTCAGCCTTGTTTCTTGTTCATAATGTATAATTGTCTTATTTTCTTTCTTAACAGAGACCAAGTTCTCAGATTCCATGCTCAGAATCTGAAAGCCACATTCATGCTTTGAAGGAGCTGGAAGAGGACGTGGAATCTGGGTTATGACCGTTTTATATCTGCTGAAATATTTCAGTTTTCACTTGAACACCAACAGTTTTTATTGCATATATATATATATATATATATATATATACTGTATGTATATGTGATCCTCTATCGGCCTGTTGACACCATGTGCAGGTGTGTAAAATACAGATCAAAAACAAGAACTGAAATGATCAGCCTGTGCAAAATGTATCAATCAAATCAATATCACTAGAAATTACATGGTAAAGCTATTTAGAATTTTCGTTTTGTCCCAGCATGAAAGCTGTTAATTCTGCAAATAAAACTGTAACATACAAGGTTTTTCTGTGTCTCAGGAACTTTTGGACGAGGAGAAAGCAGAGATGGTTGGTAATGCAGCTCCACATGACAACATATTTTGCCATTAAATGGTGACACAATATTGCCCTTTCGCAATTATTTTATTACTAGTTTGCCTCAATCACAGTATCGTTTTAAAAATACATCGATTTTTTTTTTTATTATTGTGTGTTTTAAATCAAAAGCGTAATTTATGATTTATTTTTGAATACATTGTGTTATATCAAGATAGCTGGGACAAGATACAAATGTCAGAATATGCCACATGCACATGTATGAATTATTTGAGTATAAAACTTTAAACTGTATTCTGAATTAATCCTAGATGTATATAATTTATTATAAAAACGTTTTCATAATTGTAACATAAATATTTACATACATAATTATTCAGGTGCATGTGTAATAACTTGCGAAAACTTGAGGCTACAGCACTGCTTCTTCGTCGTCGTCTTGTCTGATGCACTCACTCAACCAGCGTTCTAACCATGACCTCGACCTCCCCACCCCCCAACCATTCGAATTTCCATAGGCAGAATTATTTTAATGATATTCCAATGGGCCGCTTTGTGATATTACAAAACCCGGAAAACAAACGCTGTAGTCCAAACGAGCTGTTCGTTGTAGTTCTTGGAAAAGGGATTTTTTAAAACGAAATATCTCCCTTTGGAGTGGACTTTGAGATTTGTAAGTTTGAAGATCTTTTTTATGCCCAAACATACATATTACACACTGACTAAAATTCAGAAAGGGAAAAAGCATAATAGGACCCCTTTAAAAATTGTACAGCAGCACTTCTTCGTCGTCGTCTTGTCTGATGCACTCACTCAACCAGCGTTCTAACCATGACCTCGACCCTCCCCGCCCCCCAACCATTCGAATTTCCATAGGCGGAATTATTTTAATGATATTCTAATGGGCCGCTTTGTGATATTACAAAACCCGGAAAACAAACGCTGTAGTCCAAACGAGCTGTTCGTTGTAGTTCTTGGAAAAGGGATTTTTTAAAACGAAATATCTCCCTTTGGAGTGGACTTTGAGATTTGTAAGTTTGAAGATCTTTTTTATGCCCAAACATACATATTACACACTGACTAAAATTCAGAAAGGGAAAAAGCATAATAGGACCCCTTTAAAAAAAAATCTTACTCCCCACCGGGGATAAAAAATAATTCGGCAGAGGCAGGGATGCATAGACCAGAGGGGGGGGTCAGATTTTGCTAAAATCATTTAAGTAAATTTTTTCCCTCATTAATGTACACACAGCACCCCATATTGACAGAAAAACACAGAATTGTTGACATTTTTGCAGATTTATTAAAAAAGAAAAACTGAAATATCACATGGTCCTAAGTATTCAGACCCTTTGCTCAGTATTTAGTAGAAGCACCCTTTTGATCTAATACAGCCATGAGTCTTTTTGGGAAAGAGGCAACAAGTTTTTCACACCTGGATTTGGGAATCCTCTGCCATTCCTCCTTGCAGAGCCTCTCCAGTTCTGGCAGGTTGGATGGTAAACGTTGGTGGACAGCAATTTTTAGGTCATTTCACGCACCTGCAGCGCATCTGAACTGAAAAATGGAATAAAAATATATGCTACATAAAAAGGAGTTATATAGGCCTATACACAAATTATATTTCACTTAAATCATTAACAGATTAACAAAACAAAAGAAAAAATTGTGCTGAGTTTCGGATAATTGTAACACTCTCCAAAGTTCACAGAAAGGAAACCTAGATGGCAGAAAACTGTTTTCTTTATTTTGCAAAAGCTTTACAGTTTTGAAACGCGTCGGCGACTCGCACGCATATACAACATATTTTTGCTAACTTGACATAGCAGCCTGTTCATTATCAAAATAAAATACAGTTAAATATACTTAAAAAGTTACACTGCTCAATTTATATATAGTCCGTAGTACAGTCTGCTTAAGTTTCGCTTTTAAATTAATTAGTTTTGGCTTACAACTTTAGAGGACTTGTTGTGGAGAGAAGGGAACTAAAATAGCCTAATTGTTTGTAAATATTTTGCTTTATTTACTGGTATTTTAGCCTACATTATTTCTGAATGATAATAATATATTAATAATACAATGCGACATACAGCCTACTAATTTAGGCTTTTTTTTTTTCTCTCAAAACGCTTATAGGAGTGGCCTTTTTTTATTCACGCAAATGTTTTTAAATATCTTTAAAAAATAGGCCTACATTAATGTCATTAAAGCGTTGACAGTTTTTTCTTTTGTTTAATAGACGAAGACAATATAATTGCAGTGGAAAATAATAATCACTGAAATAAAGTGGAGTGGGACTGAATTTTATCTGTTGAGGTTGTATTGAATGGTAAAAAGTGACATGAATGGTTAAAAAAATTTTTTTCTCACTACATGACATTGATTGTATCAACAGAGTAGAAATGTTCAGAGTAGAAAAAAAGGGTTAATAGTAGAAACTGTTTTCATTTGAAATTTTAGAGTCACAATTAGGGCTGATTTTGAATAGGTTGACTATAAAACATTTAGATATTTTATATACATGTTAAACACTGTCTTGATGTAGATGGAGCGGTACAAGGAACTCAAAGAGCTGGCCAGGAAAAAGGGAGCTGTTCTAAACCAAAGTGCAGAGAAGCTGCACTGGGAGGTAAAAGCCGACTGCGAGAAGCTCCAGTTTGACCTGAGGAGGAAAAGTGAGATACAGGTAGGCTTCAGTCTTTCTGCCACATCATGAAGATATATAAAACATAGCCTACACACAAAAATGCCCCAAAAAAAGGGAAAATGACCTTAGGTGTGATTCATTTTAGGATATAAATAATTGTTTGCAGGCAAATATTAAACACTCTCAGACTCGGTTGGAAGATTTCAGCAGAAGGGCAGAGAAGCTGGAGGAATTTGTCAACACTACTAGGTTTGACTACCTCATGTACCCACATGTTTTTTTGTTTTGTTTTAATTGACAGAATATTGCAGTAACTGAATTCTTTTTTCTTTTCTTTTTTAATTAACATGATTCAGTAGAGATGTCAGAGTCACGTTATTAATTTTTTTTAAAGGAAAGCTATTGAGGAGCAGCGGCAGCAGGAGGAGCAGCTGGCAGAGGAGCTGGTGAGGGGCAAGGTGCGAATGGAGGAGGTGAATGAGGAGCTTGCCCAGGTGCTGACCAAGCTGCAGAACGCTCGTCTGGACAGCCAAGAGAACCGACGACAGCAGAGACGCGATGAGGTCCTGGAAAGCCTCAGGAGACTCTATCCTGATACAGTGGTACTGGAATAATTAACTTACACAGACCCCTAATTCAATTAAGCAGATTAGATCTGTTATCTGACATTTATAATGTGACAAAAAGTTTCCATTTCCAGACCTGCCAATCTGTATGAATTTTACGTAGCGTCTACGTATTTTGACCTCAAAGTACGCTGGTACGATTTGTCACTCTAAACCAGGGGTTTTCAAACTGTGGGTCGCAACTTGCGAAGTGAAATAGTTTTTTGAATCGCAATTAAGTCGATTTAAGATTTAAAACATGCGTTGCGTGTTTTGAAGCGCGCGAGTTGTAATAACAATGAGGGCCTCAGAGCAACGTCGTTATTAAAAGGCTCGATCGGTCGCATTGTTAATGAGAAGAAACTCGGTCACTTTAATTCTGCATGAGATTTGCATGAGAGTCTGTTAGAACTGTTTTCATTCAGGAAACGGTGTGTAAAAAGTGGTATGCACAAACGCAGGGTTAATTGTAACACTACAAGATTTAAACATTTCCACATAACAAAATTGACAACATTTTGTATTGTTTCCTTGCCATACCATCTATATAGAGAAAAAATGTGCCAAAGTTCTAAAATTGTTTCATTATATTTCTTTAACCATAGCAAAAGTAAATTTCTGACTGAAGTAAATTTGTCATCTCGGTTTTTAGTGTTTATTTAAAATGAGACACATCTGTTTATTATTTTTACCTATTTCACAAATTTTAATCTCCAAACTGTTTTAGATAGTATTGCTTCGCTTCTTATGCTTTGCTAAAAAAGTGTTGGGTTGTGCTCCGCTCTCCTACACACACGGAAGGAGCATGAATGCATTCTCTGCGCTGAACCCCGTGATGAATTTAACAAAACTCGCAGCGCGGATTACAGTTCACTGGAGTCAGCGTGTTTCGAGTTTTTATGGACATGTTTCATATTTTAACATATGTAAACAAATTAAAACTTAAATATTAGTAGTGAAATTTTACAGTTGTACTATAAAATACAATGGTTATTTTTCTTAAATTCTGAATTTCTGTCATATTAAACTTTTAATTAAGATTAAGGGTACTTTCACACCTGCCTCATTTAGTTCGGTTGAATCGCAATAGAGTTCGTTGCCCCTCTTGGTGCGGTTAGTTTGGGCAGATGTGAATGCAGCAATCGCACTCGGGTGCGCACCAAAAGCGGACCAAACAAGTGTACCGATTAATGCTTAACCGACCCGATTCCAAACGGACTCTGGAGCAGTTCGCCGGTGGTGAGAAAGCAATCCGACCCAACGGACCAAAGAACCAAGCGGTATCATAATTCATAACGGGAAATATGCTAAATAAAAAGCAGTGTCTGATTCTGTGAGTGAGAATATTTGTTATTGCAGTTGAAAAAAACACAGCAGCTCTTCATATTAAAACGTGTAGTTAATTGCTCTTCTCTGTGCATTACAAGAATGCTGTCCGGATGAAGCCTTGATTTTTCTTGCTGGCTGTAACTGCTATACATACAGTATATATATATATGTATACAGTATATGTGTGTGTGTGTGTGTGTGTGTGTATACAGCGGGTAAAATAAGCATTGAACACGTCACCATTTTTCTCAGTAAATATATTTCTAAAGGTGCTGTTGACATGAAATTTTCACCAGATGTCAGTAACAACCCAAGTAATCCATACATACAAAGAAAACAATACAAAAATCAGAAATTAAGTGTAATGTGTAATAAAATGAAATGACCCAGGGGAAAAGTATTGAACTACTGATATTTATTTAATACTTTGTACAAAAGCCTTTGTTGGTAATGACAGCTTCAAGACGCCTCCTTTATGGAGAAACTAGTAAAAATATAAAATAGGGCTGGGACGATATAGCAAAAAAAAAAATTTCAACGATAAAATGTTTCATATCGTTCGGTATCGATAATTATTGACACTTTTAATAATCTTTTTTAAAACAAAAAGCAATAGAATCATTTGTCTTGTCTCCCAAGGCCACAGGAGGGCGCAATGAGCAAAATAATGCAGCACATTTAAATTGTCAACGCAAGGAAGTAACTCTATAAAAACGTGTATAATGTCTAAATTAACTAAATCTAATATAATTTTGTAAATTGCATAAACAATTATGAACAAAACAGCATCATGTATTTATGCATTACTTAATCTAAAGAGCCGAAGCGCCATTCACACAGATTGCATTTAAAAACATATGAGACGCAGTGAAAAGGAATAAACCTTCACAAATTCGTGACGTGTTTTCTAAAAGTTTAAACTGTTTTAACTTTGCATGGCTTTCTATACATCTCTTCTGTGAGACGTGAGTGCAGCAGTCATATTTGTCTGTCTAAAAATGCGCTGAATATGCATTCTGTGTGAATGGCTTGGTTTCGGTTTTAACCTTTATCAAGATCTTCTCCGCATTGAGCTTTAAACGATGCAAAAACCTGGTGATGCCTCTGTCCACGCGCAGTATTCAAAACAAGCAACAGAAAAAGATGAAGAGCTTGACCAATCAGAGCGTTTTTTGTTTTTTCATTTAAATAATTTCTGTGTGTTCTATTTCTCTTTGGCTCTGTTTGTGTGTCCGTGAGTCTGAGCGCTGAGATGAGGAAATGCGTGCATCTGAAAAAGCAATACATGCCAGTTAGTTTTTAATTTACCAATTAATTTATGAGTGTTTCTTAACCTGTTGTCCAACAAAAGATAACATTGTAACATACCCCACAACATCAGAAGATTGTTAGAAATAACTTCCATCCTGATCTGATGTGGCTTCTTATCACAGAATGACGCAGAAATATATTTTATACTATAATAAAAGCTGTCGTTTAGCAATGGATTATTCATTATTAAAATACCCGAGGTGGTTTTAAGAACACAGATAAACTAAAAATTGTCGCAGTGGAGTGTTTATTGTCTTAATGTTATCTTTGAATGTTATCATTCAAAGCGTTTCTATCTTCATTTATTCAGTTACAGCTATAGCTGGATGCTTTTATCCATATTAAGGTTTTCCTAGAGCGTTTCGAGCTCTATTAGTCTGTAATTCATATGTGGATTTTCTGCGTGAAGGCGCCCTCTGGCGTCTAGTATGAATGAAACAGACATTACATTTGTACATTACATTGCACTAAATAATGGCCAATCCATAAAAATAATACTTCTCTCAAAAGAAATTTGTAGACAATTTGTAAAGTAGACATATAATAATCTATGTTTTTATACAGTATACAGAAGTGTACTGGAGTTTTAATTAAAGTTTTAAAAAACCTGTGGCTAAAAAATCAAGGTATTTATTGAACCGTGGGCTAACTGCATTGTTGCCTCCCTACCGTTTACTCTAAAATACTGTATAACAGGAATATCACAAACTGAGTGCAGACCCTGAGTACTAACCTATGCAATATATTTAACATTAAATTTAAACATTAAAACAAAGCTCATCTTGCTGCCCTAAGTCTTTGAACTGTAGTGCACCTCAGCTACTGATATTATAGTTTTTGCATCTTTTGGCATTGGATCAAAAAATATCTGCTGCTGGTTTCTTGACTCTTTTCAGTATGGCCGTCTAGTGGATTTGTGCCAGCCCATCCACAAGAAATACCAGGTCGCTGTCACCAAGGTGTTTGGCAAGAACATGAATGCTATTGTTGTCACTTCTGCGAAAGTGGCTCATGACTGCATCCGATTTCTGAAAGAAGAAAGAGCTGAACCAGAGACATTCCTTCCTATTGACTATATAGATGTAAGTGATCAGTGAAAACCCTTCAAAATGAGTAATTATGCTTTCATTTTTATTTGCATTTTTATTTACATGATTTAGTTTCAAACTATTTCAACAACTTTTTATATGGTTCCATTAGTAAAGAGTGTTCTTTCCCCATATGCGCATCAGGTGCGGCCTCTGAATGAGCGTCTGAGGGAAGTGCAGGGAGCCAAGTTGGTGGTGGATGTGGTTCAGTGCGCTCAAAATGCTCCTCAGCTTAAGAGGGTGATCCAATATGTGTGTGGGAACTCCTTGGTTTGCGAGACTCTGAAAGATGCCCGTCGCATTGCCTTTGACGGCCCTGAGCGCCTTCAGGTGAGTGCATGCCAGCCAACATTTTAGGCCAATCATATTGACTGTTATTGATCCTAAACATCTATGGCATGTTACATGTGTAAAATGTCTTCTTTAGACGGTGGCTCTTGATGGCACCTTGTTTCGCAAGTCTGGGGTGATTTCAGGAGGCTCCTTGGACCTGCGCAGTAAAGCTCGACGCTGGGAGGAGAAGGATATGAACAAACTGAAGGAGGAGAAGGATCAGTTGTCGTCCGAGTTGCGTGTAAGTGTCTTGGATTACTAATAGAAATGTGTGACAGCAGATATGTAGTGAAAAATTAAAAATATTTCTCATTGCATTATGGAACAAAGTAACTGCCAGTCAGCATGTGCTGGATGTTTAATATGCAGCTGTATGGAGCAATATTTTGGACCAATGAGATTGGTTACCTTGGGGCTACCTTGAATAAAAATTCTAGATTTATAACTTTATTTTCGCTTTATTGTGATATAATGTATGCTAATGTTGTTGATTTATTTGCAGGCCCTGATGAAGCTGAAGCGTAAGGAAGTGGATCTAAAACAGATCAGGGCTCAGTCTCAGGGAAACCAGACTCGCCTCAAATACTCCAACTCAGAACTGGACTCCATACGCAAGAAGAGCATCCCAGCTTGTCAGGCTGCAAGTCACACTCTCTTTCTCTCTATACATTTTTTCATGACTTTTAAACTGCTCTGATACTCTTATGTAAGCCGTGTGTGTGTGTGTGTGTGTGTGTGTGTGTGTGTGAACTTCAGGAGATTTCCAAACTCAGAAGTGAGCTCTCCAACCTCGAGGCCCAGATTGAGATACAGACTGAGAGTGTAGAACTAAAGGATAATGAGATGAAGGCCGTCAGAGACAAAATTAATCAGGTCATTTCATTTGAGTGTAACATCATCTCTTGCAGTGTTCTATGGTCATGGGAACCTGGAAATATCAATGAGTTTTATAATTGTTTTCAAGCGCTGGAAAAATCTTTCAGTGAACGACCAGTATAGGCTTTTCAGTGATTCAAGCCAATAATGACAGCAAGGTGGCACAGATGTACACCAAATGGCTATGAAATAATGATGATAATTTAATTTTATTTATTTTATTTATAATTATTTATTTTTGATTTCAATATTTCAATATTTACTTGAAAGGATCATGTGATACTGAAAACTGGAGTAATGCCTGCTGAAAATTTAGTTTTGCCATCACAGGAATACGTTACTTTATAAACATTATAAACTGGGCTCCAAATTCATATTTGGAAGTGCAATCTCTATAAAATTATAGTCAATCTTAAGTGATTATCTTTCCTTCATACATGGTTCTGTTTATTTCTTTCATCTTAGTTGGAGGATGTTGTGTTTGCGGACTTCTGCGCAGAGATTGGTGTGGCCAACATCCGTGAGTATGAGCAGGATTATCTCCGAATGCAGCAGGAGCTCGAGAAGAAGCGGTAAGACCTGCATAAATAGAGCCTGCCCATATTATAGCTGTGGCCATGTGTGCATTTATACAATATAGCATGAAATATAATGCAAACTAATTCTAGCTTATTAAATCTCCTGATTGTCCAGCCTGCAGTTTGAGTCCCAGCATACCCGTCTAAGTATCCAGATAGAGTACGAACAGGCTCAGCTGGAGAAACTTGTCAAACAGATGAAGAAGATAAAAGAGACCATAGGAAAAGAGGAGGACGTTGTTATCAGTTTGAAAGAGGCAAACTCATTTAGTGCACTTCATTTTCAGAGAAACAACAGGAAATTATGGGAATTGTGTTATGTTGTACTGGATATATAAAATGTTTCTGACATGTTTGGGTTTTGCTGTTGTTTTTTTTGTACTTTTAGTATTTGAAGTACTACTGTCTGTTTCCCACATCTCCACCAGGTGGAAGACAGACTTTTGATAGCTGTGGAGGAGACGCAATCAAATCTCATCGAGCTGAACAACCAGCTGTCCGAAAAGACAACTTTAGTTAAAGATGCCAAGACAGAGCTTGACAAGACTCTTAAAGGCCTCCAGGAGAAATCCAAGTGGGCATGATAATGGTTGATCTCCAAAACAATGCTTAGACCATTGTTGATTTTATTTATTTTATCAATCTATTTTTATTGCTTGTGTTTGTCCGAAGGGTGCTGGTGAAGATTCAGAAGGAAACAATCTGCTCTGAGGCGGCTCTGGAACAGCTGAGACTGAGCAAACACAACCTGCTGCTGGTCTGTAAGATAGACGGCCTCCCGTTGACACTGATCTCTGGAGCACTAGATGATATCAGTGACATACAGGTACAAACAGATGGTCAAATCTACTTGAAGCAAGGCAGCACAGATTCAGGGTGTCCGCGGGTCCTTAAAAAGTTTTAAAATGTCTTAAATTTAACTTGTTCAAGTCTGCAGAAACCCTGAGATTATTCCCTATTATTATTTTGTTGTTCTGCTGTTAAGTGTACTCAAACTTTATTGCAGCTGGACTCGGAGTCTCAGAGCATCAGCACTCTGGACATTTATGAACGAGAGGCGCAGATGGTGTTTGATTATTCAACACTGGACAGTGGCCTTAAGGTGAAAACGTGACACTAAAACTGTCACTCACAGCAGTCATTATTTTGTGGGAGTGTTGTTTTGGATTTTATTATGTGTATGTAGGCCATCACTGAAGAGAGTGAAGTGGAAGCTGAGTTGGAGAAACTCAAAGAGGGCGTCTCCTCTTTGGAGTCCATGATCATGATGTCCAGAGCTCCCAACCTGAAAGCTCTAGAGAAGATCAGAGAGGTGAAGGACAGCTTTCGGGAAGTCATGGATGGTAAGGGACAAATATATACACGTTTTTATGTCAGAGTGTGGACTACTACTAAAATTGAAGGCTGAAGTTGGGTCTCTTAGACTGTGATATGTCCTGTGACATACAGTTTGGCTCAACTGTGCTCAGATTCAGATAAAACAGACTGGGAAGTTAATAGGGCTGCACGATAAATCGAAATGAAATTGTAATCGCAATAAGGCAAAAGCTGCGATAGTCATGAGCATCTTGTCAGTGAAGCGCGGTTCTGTGAGTAGTAGTAGGCCAGTCCGAAGGCCAGAGGGTGCTCTTGCGCGGAAACTCCAAATACGCCCGCAGAAGAAATCCAGGAAATCCATACAGTGGTAGCTAAATAAACAGAAGATTAAAGTACTTTCTTTAATTCAACATAACTAATAAGCACAAGACTACAACAATATATGATTTATTTGAGTTCTTATTATAATTATTCTTATAATTTTCATTATAATAAAGTATATAATAATGCAATGCTAATCGACATAGCCTTTATCACTGCTTAGCATACTATGAAATATGTTGCGTGCCTTATTCTGTTTAAGAAGCCACATCATCTCACAGAAGGATTTATTTCAAACACTTGACTGACGTTATGAAGTGAGTTTGGAGTAAAAACATGTTGCTAAATGTGGTATTTTCACGTGCTCTCAGATGGACCCGTAGTTCACTGAGAAGCTACGCAAACAGCTGTCATTATCGCAGAAAGATATCTTTGATTTCATTATTGCGCGATTAAATCGTAATCGTATGATAATGAACTCGATATTGCGTAGCTTGTCAGTGAACTGCAGCTCTGTGTAGTAAACGCTTCTCCATCTGAAAGCATGTGTTGGAGATTTACTACTAATCACAGAACCGGCTTTACTAACAATATGCACATGACTATTGCATTCGATTAATCCTGCAGCCCTAGAAGTTAATGACAAATCAATCTAAAATTTGACCTAAAACTAAATATTTTCTCAGTTGCAGTGTTGTAATTATTTGACCTTTTGTAGGGTAGAACAGACTTGTTTAATTTAATTTTAAAAAAATGTGTTTGTCTTTTACACTTCATTTCCAGCGATATCGTTGACTTGATTGCAAATGTTTGCAAAGATACTATTTAAACTGAACTGAGCTGGATGATGACATCACTGAATTGAATGATGAACGGTCTTTAACTGAAAAATTAGTGTTTACTATTGTCATTTTGCATTATTGACACACTATTTTCCTAATTAATGCTGTTCAGTTGCTTTGACACAATCTGTATTGTTAAAAGCGCTATATAAATAAAGGTGACTTGACTTTTATATTTTGTAGTAAACTAAAGTAGTAGTTTACTACTTCAAAATATAAATAGTAATTGCATTCCACCCCCATTTAGCAAGTGTTTTATAATAATAATATATTTGGGGAGTGGGAAGATTTTGGTTCAGTGTTAACAATTTTTAACTATAATAACCATGATTTCAGCTTAAGTTTGTTGTTGTAACTTCCATCGACATAAAACCATGATCAAGTTTGTGTGCTTTTACCCCTTAATAACCATAAACCATCTATAAATCAGCATTTGAGACCAGCACACACACCACTAAGAAATGCAGTCAGGAGTTTGAGCAAGTGAAGTCCAAACGCTTCCATCTCTTCAGCCAGTGCTTTGAACACATGTCTGTTGTCATCGACCAGATCTACAAGAAACTCTGCAGGAACACCAGCGCTCAGGTTCATACTTGACTCTTACTCATTCATTCAGTAGCTTGTTCATTCATTTTATTGTTGTATCACACTTTGTTTGTATGCACCTGTCGTTTAGGCTATTCTAAGTGCTGAGAATCCAAATGAGCCCTACCTGGATGGCATCAACTATAACTGTGTGGCTCCTGGGAAACGTTTCATGGCCATGGACAACCTGTCAGGAGGAGAGAAGGCCATCGCCGCTCTCGCTTTGGTCTTTGCCATTCACAGGTGAACAACCACTTAAACCCATTGACAGATTTCTTGTAAAGTAATATCTGACTATAAATTGATATGTATTTGCTGTTGGAGAAAACTGTAAAGATCATCTTCGTTTCATTTTTAGCTTTCGTCCTGCCCCGTTTTTTGTGCTGGATGAGGTGGATGCCGCCCTGGACAACACAAATATTGGCAAGGTAAGACGAGCCTCAATATTTAAAAAAGTGCTGTTCTGATATTCTCTATCTGCCATGATGGAGAGACATCGTTTTCCATGCAGGTTACAGGATTTTTCCGGATGATGTCCAGAGAGAGCTGCCAGATCATTGTGATCTCCCTGAAGGAGGAGTTCTACTCGCGGGCTGACGCTCTTCTTGGAGTCTATTCAATGGTATACACATCCACACATTCTTGCTCTGTATCACCTCAATCTCATCATTCAAACTCAATTTAGAAACCCCATAAAATCAAAGTTTTGAGACTAGGTGGTCTATGTCTGTTACCTTTGAGATCATTTATATAGTAGTGGACTCATAAAACAAAATTCAGATATAAAAATGTACCGTGTTTTGACACATTAACAGTGTCAGTCAAATCTTACTGTTGTCAGTATTTACAATATTTTTGACCCTGGACCACAAAAGTCTTAAGTCGCTTGGGTATATTTATAGCAAAAGCCAAAAATACATTGTATGGGTCAAAATTATAATTTTTTCTTTTATGGCAAAAATCATTAGGATATTAAGTAAAGATCTTGTTCCATGAAGACATTTTGTAAATTTCCTACCATTAATGTATATAAAAATTAAATTTTTGATTAGTAATATGCATTGCTAAGAACTTCATTTGGACAACTTTAAAGGCGATTTTCTCAATATTTAGATTTTTTTTTTTGCACCCTTTAGATTCCAGATGATCAAATAGTTGCATCTCGGCCAAAAAATGTCCTATCCTAATAAACCATGCATCAATGGGAAGCTTATTTATTCAGCTTTCATGTGATGTATAAATCTCAATTCTGAAAAATGTACCCTTATGACAGGCTTTGTGGTCCAGGGTCACATTTGTCAAAGATTTGGACACACCTGCTCATTCTACACAGTTTTCCATATTTTGTAATAATAGAGAACTATTAAACTATATAATTACCATTCAGTTTGTGCTAGTTTATGACCAAAATGACAAACAACAGCAACAACACAAATCAAAATACACATTGCAATTCAAATGTTTGGTTTGGTAAGATTTTTTTTTAAAATGTTTTTGAGGGAAGTCTTTTATGCTCAAAAGTCTACATTTATTTGATCAAAAAGTACAGTAAAAAACATAATATTGTGAAATTACAATTTAATATGCAGGTTTTCTATTTTGATGTATTTTAAAATAGAATTTCTTCCTGTGGCAAAGCTGAATTTTCAGCAGTCATTGAAAAGTTGCAAGTTCAAAGGAACATCATTTTTTTAAAAATAGAAATCTTTTGTAATATTATAAATGTCTTTATTTTAATGTTTTATCAATTTGATGTGCCCTTGCTAAATACAAATTTTAATTCCTCAAAACGTACTTCCCTCCAAACTTTTGAAAGGTATTGTATGAACTCCTTCAAAACTAAAAAAAAAAATCTTAGTTTATGACCAAAATGACAAACAACAGCAACAACACAAATCAAAATACACATTGCAATTCAAATGTTTGGTTTGGTAAGATTTTTTTTTTAAATGTTTTTGAGGGAAGTCTTTTATGCTCAAAAGTCTACATTTATTTGATCAAAAAGTACAGTAAAAAACATAATATTGTGAAATTACAATTTAATATGCAGGTTTTCTATTTTGATGTATTTTAAAATAGAATTTCTTCCTGTGGCAAAGCTGAATTTTCAGCAGTCATTGAAAAGTTGCAAGTTCAAAGGAACATCATTTTTTTAAAAATAGAAATCTTTTGTAATATTATAAATGTCTTTATTTTAATGTTTTATCAATTTGATGTGCCCTTGCTAAATACAAATTTTAATTCCTCAAAACGTACTTCCCTCCAAACTTTTGAAAGGTATTGTATGAACTCCTTCAAAACTAAAAAAAAAAATCCAACAAAATATTAACATATTGGAAATAATATTTTATTATAATATTTACAAAATCTGTTTAGCAAGTTTATTTAAAAGTCTAAAGGGGTCGTTTTTGAATCATTTTATTTAGATCTTAATTGTCTCATTTGTCATGCTTTTTTTTTTTTTTTTTTTTGCTGCTTGTGGTCACAGTTTGATGAGTGCATGTTTAGCCGCCTGCTCACCCTGGACCTCACACCATACCCACTCAATGAGGAGAACGCCACAGACAGAGAGAAGGACAAATAATGGGTGGACGGCTGATAATGAAGGATAAAATATTCGTTGTTAAAGTTAAAATCATTTAAAATATCTAAAAGATTGAATGTTGAACTGTTAAATTTAATTACCTAAAGATCTCATCATTTAACAGGTTTGAGCTGTTTTTACATTTTGTATTGACATTTGAATGTTTAAGAGGTTGTTCTGTAATGCAGCTTGAAAAGTGTTTTATGTTAAAGCAGTTTTATGTGTTATTGTTAAATGCCAGTTTACATTTGTTCAATGTGGAAAGTGATTTTAATACAGTTTTACTGTTTGCATTTGTGAAGGTTTCTGTCATTCTTTATTAGTAGCTGTACGCATAGGTGTCTCTCTGTCACTAGGGTGGGGTTTCAGCAAAACATCAGCCTCTGTTATTCTATTCTCTCTTTCTTTGTCCCTGCTTCTCTTCTTGTCTCCTGAAATATAAAGCTTTGCTTTCCTTAGCAACTCCAATGGCACCGTGGTCATGGTCCTTCTCAGGAACAATCCTACCAGTCTGGATGCATTGCGTTTCTTCCTCTGGGTTAGTTTTTTTTCTTGTTTGCTTATTTGTAACGTGTTTTGTTTCTTTTAGTTGAAGTGTTTCAAATATACTGTAACTGAATGTTGTTCGATGAACTAAACGCATTCACATTGTTTAGAAAGGGTGACGAGCATAAATTCAGTCATGTATGTACCGCAGTTTAAATGGTATATTAAGTTTGTAATCTCTAATTTTAAAACTAGAGTAAAATTTGCACAAGTATTTCTTTCAAACCAACTATTCTCATATTCACAGATGTCAACTATCACAGTTTGTCACAACATTCCTGTCCAGCTCTGAGGGGAATATTCAAAGTTCACAGCTACTTAACATACACACTGTGATCTATTTTTATTTTGTTTACTCTACACAATGCAATTGTGAAAACTTGTTTTTGAGGCAGCTATGGAAACAAACACCAACATTGTCGCTGATAATCATGCAAAAACTTTAACTTTTTCAAATGTAAGAGCATGAGTTTTATTTGCAGGTGAAGAAGCTGAAGGACTTAGAGAGGGAAAAGGATCTTCTGTGGATGGGATTGCAGGCTTTAGAGCAGGTGCGAGAGAAGTTATGTTCCAACCTAGATAATTACATGGAAGTGCAAGACAAATTCAACAAAGGAGAGATGAAAAAAGTGAGTTTTGTGTATCAACTTGTTTTTTTATAACTACTTTGTGTTTAAATGTATTTTCTATGCATCAGGTGTTTCGAGACACTCCCACCCTACTGTTGGCTCAGATTCACAGAGTGAACAGGACCTTGAGGAATCTATTGTGTGACTCCAGGAATCCCACTGTTCCTGCAACAGAAGGTTATTCCTTTAACAATACTGCACCAAATTCCTGTAAAAACATTTAGGTCACTCTTCATCATCACTTTTAAGTGGCAAAACCATTGAATTTTTTGTATTGAAAGCGGTTTACCTTTTTGTCAGGTACTCCTGCCTGTTTTCCTGTATTTTGTGCTTGCAGAATGTATTCTGCACTGAGTGGATTGAAATAATAATTTTATGTGCAATAAAGGAAACTTTCCAAAACGAATGGTATACAACTAGCACACTGCTTTGAATTTTTTATTCAAGAATTCAATGCACTTGACTTGACCTTACATTTCCAGAGGAATGAATTAACTGAATAAATCAACCACTAGTTTTTGGTACTATTGGATTAAAAATGCTTAACACTTATATTTATTTTTGCAATAATAACTATACATGCAAAGAAATTAGATCATGTGAGAACATTAGCATGTGTGTTTATATATATATATATATATATATATATATACAGTGTATATATATATATATATGATTATTTCTTCACATACACTAGCTGTCAGAAGTTTGGAGTAATTAAGATGATTTTAGGTTAATTGTAAAATAAAAGGAATTAATATAATTCAGAAGGATGTACTGAATCATCAAAAATGATAGCAAAGATTAAATTTAGTAAAAAAAAAAAATAAATTCAAATAAATGTTGTTCTTAAGAAATTCTTATTCATTAAACAATTCTGAAAAAATATATCATGGTTTCCACAAAATATTAAGCAGTAAAAAACAGATTTCAGCATTGACAGCAATAAGAACCATTATGGTCACTGGGAGTGTTCCTGTTTGTAATGGTGTGTGGTCACTTCCCAGAAACCAATGACTTGCAGATAATTTAATACAACATCTGGACTGAGCCTGGCTTGTCAGATGGTAAATTGGCAGTCATCACAACCAAGAAGACCAGTTGTAATTCTGAATCAAACAAAATGGATTAAAGAGAAAAGGGGGAGAAAAGTGGCTTGAATTTTTCAGGCTCAGCAAGTACAAGAACAACCTACTCCACCAGAACATGAGAAGCGCTGATAGTAAATCAGTCAAATCTACAGCTCTGTGCATCAAGAACTCTACAGCATTTCCACCTAAATATGGGTTTCCATTAATAAGGACTCTAGGGGAAATCAGAATGTCATGAATTACCATAAGCAAAAATCCACACCATCACACATGATATCCAAAAACAATTTAAGTTGGATTAAGGCTGTGAACTGATTTTTTAAACGGATAAAACCAAGTGGACAGTTGCTACCATCAGCCAGAAAAGAAACCAGAGTTCACACAGCTCTCAGGTGTACATCCTTTATGAAAATACACCCTAACATCCAGCAGCAGCACAGCAGAGTACCTTCAGTCTGTTAGTGATGACGGGCTGGAAAGAAAGAAGAAGCGGACCAATGGTGTAAAGGAGGCATCCTCTTTGTTTTTCTTTGACCAGAAAAGCAGTCAAGGTCAAGGTCAGGCTCAGCAAGTGCAGGAGCAGGCTGATGTGCTGTTATACTGGAGAGAAATCACATATCCTTGTTGAGAATAAGCCTAGCCTTAATCAAAAATGGCCCTAACTGAAGAAACATTTGGTATTTTCCACTTTAGAGCAAAGTCTTCTTCAGGACATTAACTGCTTTAGCAGACGGAGGTCTTCAAGAGCCTCATTCCAGTCAACCTGTAAATCATCAGAACGTTTTGAGCCGGAATAAAGTCTGCCAATTGCTCGGGAGGGAGGATTCGGTGCTGTCTATGAAGGGAAACGCTTGGAGAACGGCCTTGAGGTATCGTGATTTTATCTTGAATATTTAGCTAGCAAATTCTTTTATCTCACTCCGTCCATTTCAAGTCCTCTTGGTGTATGTTTTGTCCACTATCTAGTGCACTTGACATGTCTAAAATGAAATTGTAACCATTTTTTTGTTATTGAACAGGTGGCAAAAGAAGACGAGGAACATGGTCTGCATCAACATTGTAAGTAGACTACTTTTTTCACAGATTTAAATTGTAAACAGTTTATCCAAGACTGGACTGGATCCATATTTAGTATAACTCTTCCATCTAATAACAATCCTAAAAAGTATCTTTCTTCTAGCCTGGTGATCCTGCACCTCTTCCATTAGAGGTCGGCCTGTTACTCCTGGTTAATAAGGATCCTAAAGTTCCTCAGGTCATTGAGCTGCTGGACTGGCAGGACCAGCCTGACCAATACATCATGGTCCTGGAATGTCCCCCACCTTGTGAGGATTTGTTTGATTATGTTGAGCGTTGTACTGGTACCCTCAATGAGGATGTAGCGCGGCTGGTCATGTGGCAGGCAACGTACTCCGCATACATGTGCTGTGGAGTGTTTCACCGCGACATCAAGCTGGACAACCTCTTGATCTATCCCAAAACCCTTGAAGTCAAGCTGATCGACTTCGGATGTGGGGATCTGATGAGGGTCTGATACTTGCTAGGACATCTTCTGGAGTAAGTATTATTAATCAAATGTGTAGTTTAGGATTCTAGTGATGAATTAAACCATATCCGACTATTTTGAAGCTCACTTATCAAAAAAAAAAGGTCTTTCCTTCAGGCACAGCAGAGTATTTTCTCCTGAGTATGACTAGGAGGTGCAGGTACGACGGGAACCCTGCTACCGTATGGTCACTGGGAGTGCTCCTGTTTGTAAAGGTGTGTGGACACGATCCCAAAAACAAGGACCTGCTGGAGATAGGTTGGGGCGAATGGATTGAGCCTGGCAAGATGGCATTCATCACAACAAAAAAGACCAACTGTCTATTCGATTCTAAATTATACAAAACAGAACTAAGTGAAAAGGCGGGAAAAGTAACATCTGAGCCAAGTGTAGGAATTTTCCTGGATTTTCTGAACTTCAGCTTAGAACAGTCAAAGTTGAAGGATGAAATATTTCTCCAGTCATGGTTTAAGCCACAGAATTTGCCTCATCGTCATTCAGCTGATAAGACAATGGCCATCCCTCCATGGTAGTGTCTTCTGGAGCTGGAAAGCCTTGGTAGCACCTGGATAGTCCCCAAATGCCTTGCCACCTGTCATCATGGTCCCAGAATTTCCAGCATAGTTTATTTATATACAGTATCATTACTGCATACAGAATTTTATTTAGATATCATTACAGCATAGTAGTTATTGTGCAATGCCTTGGTAGCATCTGGTGCCTTGGTTTGAGGCGGTATCATAACAGCATATTTTAACAATCTAGTTAATTTGACAAATAACATCACTCAGAAATGTGGCACACTTTATGTATTTATACATGTATTTATTTTATGTATAAACCTACTGTGCCATATTTCCAAGTCATTATGTTTATCATAACAGCATAGCTTGTTATACTGTTCGAAATGTAACATAATGTTGAATAAAATGGAAAAGTTTTGAGTGAGAGGTTGTCACAGTTCATATAATGCTCCTGATTTATCAGATGAAATATGTTGCTTATGTCATTAAGCATTTTTATTGTTCATTTATATAAATGTAATATAATTTAAATCATTGAGGAAATTTGATTTATTTTTTGTCTTTAGTGGGCCTCAGCCACCCAGTGGAATGTAATAGACTCAAAAACAAAATAGTAAATATTTCTGTGGGTTCAGCAGAGGAAAGTCGTCGAGTCAGATTTCATTCATAC